TTTTTTTTTTTTTTTTTTTTTTTTTTGAATTTCACTTCCATTGTAGTATTTAAAAAAAAAAAAACAAAAAACAAAAAACAACAACAAAAAAAAAAACAACAACAAAAAAAAAAAACAAAAAAAAACAAAAAAAAACAAAAAAAACAGAACGAAGTAAATGTTTCCTGATAGTCAGATACTGATTGATTCTGGATACCCAGAATTTGCCTTGCTTGCTAGGTCAATCTGATTTAAAACTGAGTTTATGCACAGGACAGGGAAAAACTCATGAACTAGCAATGATCTGTAAGTAAAACCAGTTCTATTTAATCAGAGATCTGTGATTAATACAAAACAATTTTTGAGTGAGTTCTCAAGTATTTATGGACGTAGAGAAGATAATTTCTGGGATATTGAAACTTGCTGTCAGGTAAAAATATATTGTCTTTATTCCATGTTATATAGGAAGATCATCCTGGTTGTGACTCTTTTTTATTTTTTAACTTAATTAGCCTCATTTCACTATATGTTTCATAATTCACAAATAAGTTACGAATTATTTTTCAGCTTTGTAAGTTGAAGTTCTGCAGATGTAAGGAAGGACGAAATTTGGCACAGTGACCTGTAATCAGTTTATAGTACTTCTGGTGCTAAAGGAAAAGGAATGTAATCCAATTCACAGTTCCAGAGATCTGTTATTGATTCAGCAATGTTAACGTGTGTCTAACAAAAAAAAAAAAAACACCCCAAATACCCACATAAACAAAAATAGAAACAGAAAACCACTGGTGAATAAACAGTTTGACACACAGGTTTACAGGTGGTACTTTAAAGTATATTGAGAGCAGACCTGATGAATTTGTAAGTTTTAAAATATTTATTTTCTGCTTTTGATGATTGGAATGATTGAGATTAAAAAATGATACTTGTATTTTACTAGGACCTAAGGGGGGAAAAAACATATCCAAAATTATCTTTGGTAGGAAATACTGTTTTACTCTCTACTGCTTTCAAGTTCCTTTTAATTTGGGAACAGGGAACTCTACTTAAATTGAAAAGCGGTATAAAACTTTTTGAAAAGTCCTCATTTCAAATGTTTATGGGTTGAGAGAGTTTTCACTTCTATGTGCGGTTTTGATTTCTTTTGTAGTGGAAATTATTCTTTCTTTTTGTCAAATTGATGTGCACAACTGGTAGAGCCCAGGAGTTTAAATTATTTAGCAACAGTGATTTAAGCAGCAAAATATTGCTTAGTTGCTTAGTTTTATTCAAGGATATTTAATTGAACAGGAAAGTTTGTATATACTTGACACTTCCTTTAGGTGAACTTGTGGGCTTGTTTTCCTTTGGAGATTAATGTTGTACCTGTTAAAGTGGGATAGGTTCCTCTATAACCATTAATTCATTTCACAAGTATAGATGCTGCTGTCACTGGTGCATTTGTTGTGAGATGAAATAAGGTGTCACTTTTATGCAAGGTTAAGAATAAACGTAAATGTTCTCAGGTTTGGAATAGGAGCCCTTTCTCTTTGCAACTTGACCCTTCAGTATTGTCAGTCTCCATAATTCTGTAGTTTCCAGCAGAATCTCTATCTGGAAGTCAGAGGCAGTCTCCAAATACTAATGCTTTCTGGGCCATTAAGAAGTATGTGTGCATACTTTGCTAGGTTTTTGGTTATGATGATAAAATCCTCACTAAGGTAAACAGCAACATTCTTGCTTTGTCTCCAGAGTTCTGCTTTTTATCATGGAATTTTCTGTGGAAGGAGCCCTCCAAAGCAGAAATAAATCCAAGCTTCATCTTAAAACAAACATTGTTATTAATTTGGCTCATTTACCTGAGGAGTCCTGCTAATTAATTTGTTTACTTCGATTTATAGAACATAAATTCCCAAACAATCATTCATATGCTAATATCCATGGGAAACAATTCAAAAAAATTATGTTCTTCAATGAGCAAGGATATGAAGGATATGGGGGTTTAGTTCTTTTTTTAATGTAATTATTTGAGATCTTTCAGTTAGAGTAAAAATAGACTCATTATGGTTATCTTCAATAAATTTGTTATGGAATAAATTATTCCTTAATGTAATCTGCAGTATTTACATACAATTATTAAGCTGCTAGGCTATGTAATTAGCTGCAAAGTTCAATTGTTTTTTATCATATGACAGGTGTTATTTTGCAAGTGGTTAAAAACAAAAACAGCAACAACAACAAAAAACAAAAACGAAAAAACAGGGTGGAGAAGTTAGGATTCAATAAACACTTTTTCTGTTCTTTTTTCAATCTTAGATTTTTGAGATGCAAACCAGTAAGGAAGTTTAGGAATAATGAGATCAGTGCTACCTACCAAATTCTGACTGTATCTTTGTTTTTATTTCACGAATCTTCTACTATGATATTTCTTTTGTTCTACAACAAATGCTTGTTTAGCAAAGGGGAGAGGACTGAAATAGGACAGGGATTTAAAAATCTGTTTATATGCTGTGTTATTTTCTTTGCCCTATTGCCCTCTTTGACCTTTAAGCATCCCTAAGTCTGTCAAAACATTTTTCTTTTTCATCAGTATCCTGGGAAACAAACCAAACTTACTTAAGTCTATGGGCAAGATTAATGCAACATAGTATGTAGTACTTAACACTTAAGCTTTGTCTTATTCTTCAGGTTGAACAAAGAGCAAAGGCTCCGATTCTGAGATTTTGTATGTATTTAATACAATCCAGCATTATGTGGGCAGCCCAATTTTATAGCTTTGACAGCAGTAATTGCTAAACAATGATGCAAACCAATGAAGGGAAAAGCAAAGAAGACTTCACAGAATTGGCCTGAAGACTGCAGTAAAAGATTATTTTTCATTTAAAATCTTATGAGCTTAGTTCCTTAACTGACCAATTGCTTTGATACTGGTTTTTATATTTTGTTTAATGATACAACCACAAAGTCTGTCATTTAAAAATTACAGTGAGTCAGAGCTGTTGTTTGTTATTTCTAATATAATCATTTCTGTGAGTGGGGGGAAAAAAACTTTAGTTTACATCATTAGATTTTTTTCTCTTGAGTTAAATGTGACTGCAGTACTTTGGAGTAGACTTGGAAGGCCAACTGCTTTTCCTGGTCTGACACTTTGGTGTAATGGAAATTTAAAGCAGATGCTATCAATAGTTACATTAGCATGGCAGCATCCATCATTTCAAAAATATATGGATTAGATTTCCATTAAAATATAATAGAGGTAGCGTTCAGGGGACTTGATCTTTTATAGTATAAGGTAATCAGGGCAGAGATTCAACAGAACAAAAAGATCTACGTTCATTGGAGTAGAAAGCATTAAATCCCATTTCTGGTATGCTGAAAATGAAATGTGTGGGTGGTTTTTTTTTGTTGTTTTTTTTTTTTTTTTTTTTTTTTAGAACACTGGATTTTGATTGGGTTTATCACCAACAATAAGTGTACATTCATGCTGCTGCAAATAATGGCTTTTCCATATAATTCAGATTGAGATGGGTTTGTTTCATGCCTCTTTTGCCATTTGTTTTTGCCTGATACATTTCACATATCAGGCTTCAGTAAGACCAAGAAAAATCCCACTTTTTTCCTCAGTTAGCTGTGTGTAAAGATAAATTGAAGTCATTTCATTTAATTTCTATCAGTGAAGAAATAAAAATCCCTTAGTTTATTATTACTATACTAACAGTACTGCTTTTTGAGGGAACTGAGGAGTCTCTTCAAGCTAAGAATTTGAACTGCCAGAAGAATTTCAAACTTTCCAGTTTCTTAGTCTGTAATAGCTTTTGTCATGAGAGTGATTTATCATGGGTTTGAACTTGTCTAATGTAGATTTATTTCTTCATTACATATTTATCTGATAACATCTGTAAGAACAGCAGATATACTTTATATATGTGTCTATGATGAAGATCTGAGGCAGGAGGAAAAGAAAGAGCATGCAACAAACATCATCAATTTTACTGACATTGAAGATTTTAATGTAAGCTTAAACTGGCCTAGCAGTTATCTTTGTCATGATGGCATTATTAAAGGGAATGAAACAAAAGAATTATTGCCTTGACAATAGAATATTTACTATTTGGTGTCCAGCTTTGGCAGTGCAGCAAGCTCTACTTCAGACATTGCCTGTAAATTGTTTCTTTTGGAAAATACATCAGTGTGTTTGAACTACACTTTTTCTGGATAATGTTAAAATAATCAGAGACTGAAAAACTTCTAAAACTTTGAACTTTTTTGTTTTTCCCTACGATGTCAAAAGAATACGATGGCATATGAAAGATCATCCAGATCTGCATTTCTTCTGCTTTCAGGAAGATCTATGTTCAAACAGATGTAAAAGACATTGAATCTAAATTTTCAGAGACAGAATGATGACCTTAACACTTCCTTTTACATGAAATTTCATAAAACTGTTGTCTCTGAAATGCAGGAGAAATTCAGAAACTGGCAGTGAAGCTGCAGTCACAAGGAGCTAGAAATAAAGCACGCAAGTAAGAGACTTGTGGGTAATTTCAGATCCATTGAAAAGGTATCCTGATATCAGCTCAATGTTTTGGGTTCATTTTATGGGTTTCTTATTTTTTTTCATCTCAGGCTTTGGAAGATCAGGTGTGGAACCTGCTGCATGAAGCAGACAAGGCTGCTGAGGAGAATAAGGAGAAGAGTCAGGTGTATGATGCCATGGCAGAGACGCTTGGGGATGCATGGGATGCCCTTGTAATTATGTTAAAGAAGAGACAGGCTCTTCTGGAACTTACTACAGTGTTCTTTGAAAATGCTCTGGAGGTTTGTATTTAAATCAAATGATCTTAATTGGAATCCTCCCACGTATTATAATGATCTCTTTTCGCTGTATTTCTACTCTGTTATACTTGATATAGATGGGTATTGCATTCCTAGAAATTGAACTGCTTAAGAAAACTATATTATCTTGATCCATCTTTCTTTTTTTTCCTGCTTAGATTAGGATGAAATGGAACAAAAGTATGTAGGCTTTAACAGTAATCATAATCATGATGTTTCCAAATTTGTACTTGACAGAAAAAAGACAGTGGAAAACATAGCTGGACAAAAACCTAAAACATGTAATTCAGTAGCTGTGTTCCAGTGTTTCTTTCATTCATTATGTTTCAAATTATTCTAAATTAAAAGAGCTAAATTCTCAGATGTTTGTTAATGTTTAGTAATGATTAGACATTGAAGGTTTTATACTGTAACATGCATACAGTTACTGTAATTATGCTTGCAAATGAAACATCAGTGTAACCTTGCAGACCTTTACTCAAGACTTATCTGTCCAGCTATCTATGTGGAGTCAGATTTCAAAACGTTTTCCCCCATTCCTTTTTTGGCTTTTATCCTAACTCATCTATATACAAGGAGCTAAAGCAGAGTTACTGTGTTGCTCCCTGCCTTCAGTTATCTCCACATTTCTGAAACTTAAATAGTTTAATAAATCCTTCTGATAGTTTTTCTTTTTAACAATGGCTAAAGGCCATATATTAAATTAAAGAAGCAAATATTCTATTTCTGTCTGTCCTAAGAACTCCAAGAGAAAAATCTGTAAGAATCAACAATTGGCTTACTAATTGTTGTGTCCTGGCTATATGTAATTATACAAAGAAATAGCTGGTAGCATATGTAGCTCTGTAAAATTCTGTATCAGCAGAGATCAACTTGGTGCACACTAAATCCCTGAGGGGATGATTGAAATGTCCCTGTAACAGCCTTATATCACTAAAGGAAAATACAGCAGCTGGAGCATGGTATGGATCCATACCCATTATATTTAGATCAAAGGAAGAAATGTAATATTGATTTAAATAGGAGTTGTTCAAATTTCTTATGGGGAGGTTTTTCTTTAAATGACAACCTCTGATAATGGAAATCTTTGTTTACACTGTGATGGAACACAAACATTATTTCAAGGGTACTCTTTAATGAAAAATAAGAAGTAAAATCCCAAATGCTGATGCCAGATGGATTTCTTTTATAGCATGCAGATCAAGAGAGGAAAATCTGGAAAATTAAAAGTGGTAGGGAAAGCAGAGGGCTTATTTTTAATTTTACTTATTTTCATTGTGGGTTTCACCATTTATTACACTGAAATACAAATATGAACTCTGGTTTCTTCACTGTTGAAAAGGAGCAGTACAATTGATAAGGATTGTCTGAGATGCAGAATATGTGTCTGGACTCTGAGGTACTCATACAAAGTGACAGACTGTAGTTTCAGAGTACAACAGATGAATTTTGGGTCCTCTCAATCAGTGAGAACTCCAATAGAAAGAGCACCGAGAATCTGTAGCTATCAGTCAGTGATAATGTGCTTTTCCCAAGAACATGCAATGAATTTGCCCTACAAAAGAGATTGAATTCTTGGGAAAAGGATTATGATCTAGTTCTGTGAAAGACAATTTTACTGTACTTCCTGCCACACTTTGTTTTTCTAATGCAGTTTGCTGTTAAAATTGACCAAGTTGAAGATTTTGTGAAAAATGCTCAAGAATTTGACGACATTGACAATTTAAGAGAACTCCTTCTGCAACAGGAGCATCATACAAAAGGTACAGTGTTTTCCTGACAGGGAGTGATTGTGCTGATTCTTTCAAGCGTAATTTTGTTTCCTTCATGTATTTTTTATCCCTTAGTGTATTTTTTATCTTGGGCAAAATATTTTTAAATAATGAGATTCAATAATATTGAATTGTAATAACAGTACTAAATTTACAAATTATATGGTGTTCTTGAGTTGTTTTTTCTTCAACTTATCAATTTCTATTCCTACAGAGCTCTTGGAAAAATCACTTGCTCTTTTGAACAAAAGCCATGAGCTAACTGAATTCATCGAAGAATTCAAACGTGAGGGACCAAATGCAAATCCTGAGCTGATTCAGGGAGCCCAGAGCAGCTGCTTGAAAATTGACAACCTCCTTGAACTCCTACAAGACAGACGAAGGCAACTGGACAGATCTCTTAAACACCAGCGTCGAGGTCTGGAGCAGGTTCTACAGATTTGTCTATGGCATCAACAAGAGAACCAGGTAAGGCAAATCACAATAACAATAAAATAACAATTCCATGCACTTGTTTTACAATAGACTATTATAGAAAGGGAACTTTATTTATTGATCTAGTATATCAAAGCCATTTTTGTTTGAGATTCCAAGTTTAGAATATTTGTCTTTATTTGTCCGAATTTGGGTATGGTTGAAAAATACTATGCAATGATTTTTCCTTGTGGATGTTTCTTTTTCCTGCTAGGTAGGTATAGAAACTTATCTGCTGGCAAGCTTTTTCTGATCAAAAGAGAAGGACCTGACAGTTAACCACCTGTTAGATCCTGCGTGCATCCAGGCTGAGGATAATATTCACTAGAAGGGACAAATTCAAATGGGTTTAATAGTCTTACTGAAATATAATGTTTAGCCTTTGCATGGAGTCAAGCCTGGTGTAATGTCTGCATTGTGGGCAAATAATATATTCATTTTTAAATACAAGCTCTGGGAAATGAACTTTTAAAGACTTTATGCAAAATTTATCCCTCTGGTCTTCAAGATGTTACATGTATATTCGAGGGCTGGCAGAAAATCAAAGCTTCTTAGTGGTTTGAAACGTATTTTAGTCTCTATTTGAAGAATTGATGTCAAATGATGCTACATATGTAAAAACAGCATAGTGAATTCACATTATCATTAATGAGACTTCCCGGGATACAAAGAAAGTAAGAGTACTGGAGATGAGCTTTGCTGTATAGGATACGAGTGGATTTTTGCTCTTTGTACTGCTTCTGTTTTTCAATGCATAATTACCTCTGGATAATGCAGAAGTCTGCATTAAAAAAAATAATAATAATAAAAAAAAACCACCACCAACAAAAAATACCCAAACAGATATAAAGATCCCTACATGCTACCTGCTTCTAAAAATGCTGCACCTTGCTTTAATCTCTAGTTGGAATGTGATAATATTATAAGCGTGATTGTAACATTGCTTTATCAGTAATTTTAATATAGGAACATGTAATTATTTTTCTTTTAAAGAAGGGTGTCTGACTTTTCTCTCTGAAATTATTAGCAGCCTATTTTCTGATAATATCTAGTAGTAATGGAGATCAGAGACAGGTTGGGCTATTTTGTGCATAATTGATTATCTTTGGGAGACTTACGAATGTAATTTTTCTCTATCTACCCAATCATGCACGTATGAGAAAACTGAAACTAATCTTGGTCCCTAGTAGCATCAAGGGCAGAGGTAAGAACTGAGTAAAAATCAGATGACAGGTGAGTATACTCACACTGGTTATCCAGACAGGTTTATAGAAGACAAACTGTTGGTGTCACAAAACTTTTATTTTTATTAAAGACAGTTTAACTGACTGAAAAAGCAAGCATTGTAGTCCAGTGAATTAAAGTGTATCATCACATCTTACCGAAGTAAATGCAGGGAATTTTTCCCTTGTAATCTTTCAATAGCAAATTAATGTTTATGACCTTAATTGCTTACAAATATTTCTATATACTAGGATATAGAAAGGTTCTGTTGTTTTTTTTGCTTCAAAGCATGTTTGTTATTAAAAATGGAAGTTTTAACAACTGATAATGATTATGTTCAAATGTGTAAGTGCACATATGAGAGGAGAAATCCTCAGCAGTAGATAATGCACCAACACTAATGGATAGAATTTATCTGTGTCCTACATCTGCTCATGGTGCACTTTGTTGACTTTTTCCAATAGCTGTACACATCGTAGTGTTGCAATAGCTAAAATGAAAGCACAGAGTTTAGCTTGTACAGTTTGTAGGAAAATGTGAATGTGGTCCTTTAATGCATTAAAATGTTGTCTGAAGTTCCTCCATGAATATATTTTTTGTCCCTGTTTTGTGTCAGTAGGTGTTTATTTTTGTCATGACCCTTTAATTCCGCTTTCATTAACATTAAGGTAATACAAAGGTAATGATTTGGGTAAAGGCATAAACATTAGAAACGAAAGGAATGTAAATTAGGACTTTTTGTAGGTGAAATCTTGTATGTATCCTAAAGAGTGGATGGACACTTCTCCGATCTTTCACTGGCTGATAATCCTTTGTATTATTTATTTAGGTAACATCCTGGTACAAGAAAAACATCAGAGATTATCTTCAAAAGGAAAACCTGGGCTCATCGTTATTGGAAAACGAAGAGTTACTTCAAAAGCATAAAGAAATGGAAATTAAAGTGAAAGTAAGACATAAGATAATTGATTAGTGAATTAAGTTTAAAAAAGAATAGGAAATCATGAACCCAAGCATTAACTGTGTAAGTACGTACACAGTATGTGTACATAGGGTGAATACATCTATATGCCTGAGATAGTGACTCCTCCTGCCTGTGAAACTTTGTGAAGGAATGTGAGATGCCACTACTGATAACTGTGCTGAAACAATTTGCTGAGAAATTTGTCCTGGAAGAAATAACTTCAGAAGGTTATACGTTTCATGCCTGCAAATGCAATAAATGTTTTCCAGTATTTATAAGACTATTGTGAAGGTGTATTGCTTTGCTTTGTGCAGTTGATTAAAAGTGAACTTTTCTTACTAGGAATGGAACTTCACTGTGGAACAACTAGAAGCTGAAGCGCTTAAGATCTTGCTTTCAGAAGACTACACAGAAAAAGAGCATTTAAATATTTCGAATCAGAAGATCCATCTGTTAAGAGGAGAAGTATGTTGCCATATGGAAGAGAGGAAAGCCTTGTTACAAGAGGCCAATGACTTTTTTAATACAGCTGATAAGGTAGGTGAAAAGCTAAGCCTGTAGTACTGTGATCCTACAAACATCAGTGTGCTCTTCTGGACTGATAGATTTGTGGTTTTGCAAAACAATTTAGAATGGAAAATGACCTCATAATTTAAAACCATACATAAAATGTTAAATCTCTTTTTTTACAATAAGCCTATCCTTCACAAGTATGTTCATCTGGTAGTATTAGTAATGCAAATTGTTTTCCAATATTTTCTTGTTAGAAACTCTTTTAACTGATTTTCTATTTTATGATAACTAAAGAGCAAGTGGTCTTGTGTAATTTTTAAAGCACATTTATTAGATCATTTATTGGAAGCTTTATAGAGCAGATCATTTTTAGGGGAAACTCCAACAACAAATATATTTATTTATTACATGTGTTGAGAAAATACGACTTTGCCTCTGCTAATTTTTGTTTTGAGCACCAGGTGGGGCTGTAAGCATTGCTCTCAACTTGTGATAACGTTCCTTCAGATATTTTGTTTAAACAACATGGGAACAGTATTTAGGATAGAAATTTTTTTTACAGATCATTGAAGTGAGACATATCTTTTACTCCAATAAATCTGATCTTTTTTGATCGCATTTACAATGAGGAAACTGAGATGTGTTAACAAACTTGTTGGTGACAGTGATCTCCCTCTAGTGTAGATAAGGAGCTACATACATGAATTTTTCTATTGTGTGAAAATAAAGGCAGATTCTATTTTAGACTGCAGGCCTGTGCTTGGCAGGTGAACCTATCTGAAATAACACTAACTCCTGTGCGTCTGCTCAGCGCACCATTATTTGTGTAAGAACAAATAAAACAAGACTTTCTCCCCTTGTGCACTGAAAGTGAATTACTACAGATCATAACAGAGGCATTTTCGATTGTTCTAAGAGTATACCTTGAAACTTGGGGCACTTCTTACATGTAAAGGGCATGGTATTAGTTGTTTTGAACTAACTTGAAAATGTGTTTTATATTTTGTATCTCTTGTTGATTAATTTTAAAACATGGAGAAAAACAAAAACATGCATGCTACTTCTCACGTAGCTTAAAAGCATAATACTTGTTTTTGTTAGTGTTTTTATGTTATGGTATGCATTTGCCTCCATTTGGCCAGCTCCTTAGCTTTTTTCTTAGCTCTTTTCTTTTCCACACTCCTTGGTAGTCCTTTTGCTAAGCTTTCCTTTAATTATCAATTTCTATGTCTGTTATCTTCCGTTTGACTTTCTACACTGAGAAGGTGTGTAGCTATTTTCTCTTGGGAAATGACACCTGGAATAGACAGGCCTTGCTTTGGTAAGGCAAGAGCTTGAGAACTTTTATCTGGACAGCTTTAAGTAAATACTAAGGCTTATACTGAGCTCACTATGTTTGCACAGTCATGTTTATAGTTAGCTGAGGAGTATCCCATGCTTGGGCACGTGTTACTTCAGAATGCAACTTCTGATTTAGAACTCCAGGCCAAATCTGCTTCTGATTGTAGATACTGATGTGTTTGTTTTTTTTTTTTTCCTCCAAAGTAGTAGCAGTCCAAAGTAATAATCTTTTGAGATGTTATGGATAGTAACTAGCTTTAAAGAAAACACACAGGAGGAAATATGAAGTACTTTCAGCATGGAAGGATTGGAATATGTGTTTGTGTGATCTAATGGAATGTATTCAGTTTAAGCTTTTAGATGCAAGTATACTTCACAAGTAGAGGTGTTTTTCTTTTGGTCTTGGTAATTAGTAAAGCATAAGAAACTACAGAGAAACAGTAGATGAGGCATGGGATTTTGAAAGCAAAAAAGCTGTTGGAGCCAGATGTCAGTAGAGAAGCAGAGGATATACAAAGGGACTATATCCCTTTATTTGCCCTAAAAGATCTCAAAACTGTGATAGGTGGCTGAAGAATATGTTTACATACATATGTGTATTTAAAAAAAAA